ACCACTACCTCAACACCCCCTCTTCTCATCCCCTTGCCTTGCTCGCTCGCTCATTCTCCTTTCGCTCTCTCCTTCACCGTTCTCCCTCTCATCCCACCCCCCAAGACCCCTCCTCTGTGTACCCTCAACACACACACACCTACACACACACACACACACACACACACACACACACACTTTATGTGCGGCTCGGCCATCTTCTGCACAGCTATGCATACGCGCACACACACATACACACGCACGCACACACACACACACACACACACACACACACACACACACACACATACGCACGCACACACACACACACACACACACACACACACACACACACACACACACACACGCACACACATGCATCCTTCATCCCTCGAGAAATCATCCCCAGCTCCCATCTCGCTCTCTCCTCCATCCTCTCCCTCTCTCCCTCTTTCTCTCGCTCGTTCTCGCTGTCTGTCTCATTCTTTGAATGTCTCTCGCCCACAATTCTACATTAATGGTGCGAGCACATTTTGAGGTTTATTACCATACACGCCGGTCTTATTTTCTTCTTATTTATCTTGGTTTGTTAATAACGGCGTCATGATGCATTGTTTGTTTTTGTAATAAATGAGTAGTAATGGTGTAATGTCAGCGATGTTTTTAAAGTATATAATTACGCTACTAGTTGAAAAATAAATCAGGAGTAACATTGTAAAAATAGCCATAATACTAAAATGAACATCATTTTCAGGTCAATTTGAATTAGTTTTTCAATGTATAACTTGGATAAACAAAATGCTATTGTATGTTCATGTTAAAGTGCAAAAAAAAAAAAAAAAGAAAACAAATTTTTGAATGTAGGCTTGTGTGTAAAGCTTTAATTGGTGGAAAAAAGGTTTTATGTCACTTAAAAAAGAACCCACCAGTTCTAGCATAATTTGCAAAGAATTTTTTTTGTTAAATTTTTCTTGTAATACCTTCACATAAACCCGTTGCTGATTTGTACAAATGTAACATCTAATGACACATGAAAGTAAAAAGTCAATTCTTTTTGTGTGATTTTAAAGTCACTACTTAATGAATGTGTAATATATTTTAATAAACCCTACGCTAATTATCATCAGAGTAATCTAATTATGTGCAGGAACATTACATTTGTGTTCATGTAAGAAACTTGAATATGTAGAATTTTTAGGGCAGTTGTGTCTTTTTGTAATGTAATTTCATCAGCTCTGATGTAAAATTAGCATCTAATTACAAGCAACATTATTTACATTTAAATAAAAATGTAAAACATTAAAAATTTTGAAATTATGAACACTATAAAAAGAAAAAGATTTTGCAAAAGCTTCAATTGGAAGAAAACATGTATGGTTTTAATTTTTTTAATTTTTTTTTTTTTTTTTTTTTGTGTTTAATACTATGTCATCATTATACTAATTTGCACATATTAAATAAAGTCATCAACATCATCACACCAGAAGGTTACATTAGTCCCATTGTTATGCGTTTCCGTCAACTTATGTCCCGTCATTTGTATTCGCCGCCAATGTCTGGCATCACACAAATTGATTTAACTACGCTCGGCTCGCGTGTAACTAATTGATTGAGCGTCGCCGTGTTGTCCTTTGGCGCTCCTTGGCGTCGGAGATGCCCTCATCTCAGCGCCGCCGTGCGTAAGATTTATGACCCCTTCGGTCCCAAATCAATAGGAGGGGGCCAGGGAGATGGTCTGTGAGGGGGCTCCGACTGTTCAATGGAGCGCTTTTTAATTCGGGGTATTCTCCCTCAACTTTTCAATGGCTATTTATCGTGAGATAAATAAATTGATTGCGAAGCATTGTGCATAAGCCTGTGACAAAAATATATGAGCGTGTGATCGGATCCATGCTGGATTTTCCATAAAAAGCTTGCATTCAAGGGCGTGATATATATAACACTAAGATGAATTCAAGTAGCTTTTGTATACTGGGGAATTATTCTGATTTAAGCACTGTAGCTATTTATTCATTTGAAGAGTTCGCGGAATCTAGGCTTGCAAGGCAGGTAGTAAAATCCAAGTGATATCCACAAATGTACGATGCTAAAATGATACCTCAATTTACGAGTAATCCAATTTCAAACTTTGTCAAGGCGCAAACTGTCACCCGGATGATTACTTTGTCAGGACCAAAAACTTAATATCGTTGGAGGGCTGGTCTCCAAGTGTCCACATCACGGCACAGATTTACCTCCGCTGTCAAGACTCTAGTATGCAACTTGCTCACCGCGTTCTAAGGGAATGAAAGGAGCCACTTTGACTGGCCAAGTTGGCTGTGACCACTCCCACAGTGATATAGCCCTTCCTCTTGCAGGTCTTCCAGCCTGTGCTCATCTGCAAAATTGCCAACAATGGTTCTAACCCGCCTCCATGCAGAGATATGCCCCACACCGTGCAGGATTCATGCAAGTCACAAAAATAGACCCTGTTGTGCTTAAATCAGCCACATCACTTTGCATTCGAAAAGTCCACAAGCTTAATGTGGAAAAAAAACAATAAAATAGATGGGCTAACAATATTAGCATCAATTTTTCAGCACTTGTAAGACCTTGAACAACTTATATTTGGGCACAAACATATTCACAAACATATATTCTTTATCCTCTATGAAAAATGACGAATATTTCTGCACCTTATTTGCAACTGTCTTCTCCTGTTACATCATCACATTTACGACTGATGGCCAAGAAGGAAGCCCATTTAATCAAACTGTTTGATTATTAAGCAGTTTAATTCTTCCAGATCTGCGTAGTTATGTTATTAGTGTATGTTTCATAACATACAGTAGTGTCGAGTGCGATTTGTCAAAAATTATAAAAATAAATGTTTTTGTGCGGGCTATAATGGATTAATGGCATTCAAACCAATTACATTGAGGAACATTGATTTAATACCATTGATTCAGTTCCATTGAAGTCGTGTTGGTTGTGAATTACAAAGTACCTGTAGACACCAACTGCCAAAAAATGTCTAGCTTTTCCCCCTACAGCGCCATCTGGTGGGTCACTGCCCCACATGGCCCCAATATGAGCAAATAGAAACAGCAAATAAATTAAAAACGACATGCTTCTCGGAAGTTCAGTGAAAATGTAGCATTTGCGTAATCATGTCAACCATGCGGCCTTACTTTGACCCCGCATGTGTGTGAGCGTGCGTCTGTGTGTGCAGGGGGTGGGTTGGACATCTGTCAGACAGAAGGATTTAAACAACTACTTACATTTATTGATTTATTATTTGTTTTATTGACTTTTAAAACACTGGATGATTATTTTGCAAATCTCGCATTGGTGAGCCCGGTGACAGATGTTGATCTTAACCTAAGAAAAAGATGAAAAATTTTTAAAAAGCAAATTTTAAAAATGAGCCTCACTGTTGTAACATTTTTGGAAACGCGGTAAAGGTGTTGTCCCACCTCTTTTGGGGCACCCCACTCTTCCTTAATTTGACGTTGTCCTTTTCTTTAGATACAATTTGGGATTAATAAAGTATACTGCATCTATCATTCTTCTGTATCTTTCCTTCCTTACATTAGTTTCCGAATGTGGCTTTAGCGTTTCATCTGACAAACTCTTGTCAAATGGAAGTCACACATGCACCACATATACTTGCCACCATTCACATTGCCTCTGATTTAACCCAATTACATTTTGGCTGTTATACTCGGCTGGGGGGTTCCCATTAAAATTGTTGATATGCAGTAATTTGCAGTGTTCAATCAGCCTGCAATGCATGTTTTTGGAATGTGGGAGGAAACCGGAGTACCTGGAGAAAACCCACGCAGGCCCAGGGAGAACATGCAAACTCCACACAGGGAGGCCTGAGCTGGGGTTGAACCCAGTACCCCTGCACTGTGAGGTCGATGTGCTAACCACTGGCCCACCGGGCCGGCAAAAGTTTTGAAATGATTTTTCTTGGTCTTTTGAACAGCGGTGTGTAAACTTAATATCAACTGTACTTGTTTTAAACCTCATCGTTTAATGATGTGTAACAATTATTTAGTTTTCTATTAATATATGATCTAAAAAAATATTAAAGGTGTACTCTACTCAAAAATTTCCTTTACCATATGTGAGTCTGTACATGATATTTTGATTAATATTGCATTTCTGGAAACTGAAATGAGCAGAAAAATCCACCTATTGTGGTCTATCTCTTTCTCCCACTTGCTCTCGACTGAAAATGACATCAGAGTTGCTCAGGTAACAACCAATGACGGCTCAGCTTGTGAATGTCACATGACCGAACTGAGAAAACAGGTGAGTGATGATTGGTTGTTACCTGAGCTCGAAGCAACTGTGATTTCATTTTCAGTCGACAGCAGGTGGCAGTGTTTCGACCTGTGTGTTTGCATTGACTTTTCTTTTAAATAAAAATGATGGTTAATACAATTTTAAACGATACAAAGTTAGGTATAAATAGAATTTCTTAATACTGTATACCTCTGAGCTCTAGCCTATGTCGTTGATGTTCATACACAAGAGCAAAATGGTGAAAAGATTTACGACAACAAAGTTGCTCCATGCAGAAGAAAGGGATTTTTATGTTGGATTACTGGAAACGCGTGCGCACACACACACACACGCACACACACACACACACACACACACACACACACACACACACACACACACACACACGTGTGCACACAAAATTGCTTCCAAACATAAAACGCTTTTAATTTGGCTTTCTGCATGGGGGCGTCCTCTGTAGCAGCCTTGCTTTCCTGTAAAAAGAAAAAAAAAGTGAAAACCAAAGTGTATCATCCAGCAAGGCTGTTTTAAACGCCCGAGACAAAAGAAGTCCAGGTCAGGCAGAGTTGCCAATTAGGAGAGAGAGAGAGAGAGAGAGAGAGAGAGAGAGAGAGAGAGAGAGAGAGAGAGAGAGAGAGAGAGAGAGAGGATGAAGGAAGAGAACATTTACTAGCCCCCTTTAGCTGAAGCCAGCGCTCACCGGGGCGCTCGCTCACTCCAGCTTCTCCCAGTGCCACGTTGCCTTGACAACCGGCAGTCGAGAGAGGAAGGAGAGAGAGGAGAAAAAAAAAAATCAGCTGATTAGTCGGCATGGCAACGGCCAAGATGTAATCCCAGCAGACACACTCGCTCTAATCAATGCCCCCCAACGCAGATGCTCTCCTGAGGATCAACAAGAAAGATGCTGCCGGCCGAATTGCACTCCACATGGACCCCCACCCTGTGCCGCCACGCCTCACATACTCAAAACAAATAATTAGTCAAAGCTAAAAAAAAAAAATAAATAAAACCCACATACCGGGTAATAAGTAAATATGGCAAGCATGGTGTCTTTTGGAGAATCCTGAAAATGATCATCAAAGTTTTAGGACAAGCTCTGGCCACATTAAACCGTGTACAGTACACTCGAAATACAGTTGGGTTCAGAATAACCTAATTTGGAGTCAAAAAAGGACTGACCACTACTCGGGTCATTTGTCATTTGTCTCTCCTATAAAGCAACTCCAAAAATATTTTCTTTGTACAAAAAAACAAAAACAAAAACCCACAGCAAGATTGTTTGTACATTTTTAATAGGGTTAAATTGAAGCAAGCAGCGGTTGTTCCCTTTTTGACCCATAAGTGGGTTATTTTTTACCCGAGTGACATTTTGTGTCACCCTCTCGTGTATATCCTTCCGCTCAGGCCTAATATGGGCGAACCCCAATTGTTGCTTGTCCAAATGCCATCCCTGAATTATGCTCGAAATGGATGCTTCCAACGAAAATGGCTAACTTCTTTTTCGGTTTTGGGTCCTTGAAACTTTTTCCCGACATCTGTTGCGACAGTCAATTGATATCTAACTGCTGGGGCGGAATTCATCAGACAGGAATATGGAAAACTACTATACAGGGGCTCAGGCATGTGCACAGATAAACCCCTCGTGGTGCTCCAGCACCAGCTCTTTTACCCAGGAAGAGAAAAGTGCTTTTTGATTGGAGCTAATTTGTTTTTCCATCAGTCATAATATTTTTTAAAAATCTCTGTCATTAACTCCCTCCAGAAGTGTTTGGATGCAGTATCAGATGAATATGATTTGAGTTTCTGGGAGAAGTGTGTTAGCCTTCACCTTTTGAACAAGGGTGTGTAGACTTTTAATATCGACTCGAGCTTCCGTTCCCCACTTTGTAAATGGTTTATTGGCTGTATTGACAACAGAAATTAATAGGCTGCATAAGGTCCACATAGCTGTGCTTTTTCACTTAATTCATAATTTTGGCGATGGTTGCCCTATTATTTGGTTTGAGCACCCGCCCCTAAAAATGCCTGTCCCATTGCTTTATATTCATGTGTTTTTTTTTTTTTTTTCAGACAAATGCTGTGTTGACTTGAATTCTGAGTTTACTCTTGCGTTAGTGTTGGTTAGTGATAGTTTATGACGCATTCCTACTTGTGTGCTAAATTTTAGAAGCGGAACTCTTATTGTAAACCGAGCACCCTGTTGAAAATGTTATTTGCCTTTTACAAAGCACTTGTTAATCTTCAGTTTTTTTTTGCATTTTTTGATTTTTTGATTAAAAGGTTCCATTTTCAGAGCGGAAATGAAATCAAAGTTCAGCTGATTTTTAAATATTTACTTCCTCGTTCACATTCGTTACCTGATTGATTTTTCTGGTGACAAATGTGTAAGTCTCGGCAGAGGTCTTTTTTGTTTTTCCAAATGAATCTAACAAGTGGCAATGTGGCAGCAGGTTTGCACGGAAGGTCGCCTGATCGTGGAGTTCGCGTTCGACGACCTGATGAGGATCAAGACGTGGCACTTTACCATCCGGCAGTACCGAGAGCTCATCCCTCGCAGCATACTGGCCATGCATGTGAGTTTTGCCACACACATCCCTGCAAAACACACACACACACACACACACACACACACACACACACACACACACACACACACACACACACACACACACACACACACACAAATCCCAGAAATTTAGCAACATCGAAGCAGAAAGATTTTATTTTTTTTTTTTAGAGCGAGGTATTGTCTCTGATGGAGAGGTTAGATAATCATAATCGGCTTAATTTCAGTAAGTGACATTCAGACCCTTGATCTGTTGCCCATGTCTAGACATGCAAGCTGTTCAAAAACACACACACACACACACACACACACACACACACACACACACACACACACACACACACACACACACACACACGATCTAATTATTGTGCACAATTGCAACACACCAAGCCATTTTAACTCTATAGAGACAGTTTTGTTAATCAAATAATCATTTCATCAAAGGGTAGATTAGAGAACCTTAATTGTCTTTTGAATACTTCCAGCTTTGTCGAAGGCCCTTTCTCTTTGTGTTCTGTTCGACAAATCAAGGTCCAGTGAGAATGTGCTAGGATTCATTTGTTAGGGAAGAACCAAGACCCTTCAACACTTTTGGAAAAAAAACTGTTTGTGTGCCAATACTTTTATCTGCATGATGTATTTCACATCCAGTAGGTGGCACTTGTCCCAATACTTTTGGTATCCCAATACATTTATCCACGTTACATTCCACTTCATGTTAGTGGACTATTTCACACCAAATAGGTGGCATGTGTCCCAATACTTTTCTCCATGTGCTGGTGGCGTACGTCAAAATACTTTCGTCACGATGTTGTACTCAACTTCCTGCAGGTGGCACGTGTCCCAATTAGGGCTGTCACTATTGAATCTTTTTAGAATCGATTATCCTATCGACTACCCCATCGAATAATCGGGTAGTTGGGTGGCTTTGCACCACATCTGCAAAAAATATTACTGCTGCTGAATGAGCCTTCGCTGTGAAACTTTTCTTAGTTTGTGTCTGTCTATCTGTATTATCCTACCTCCCGGTGGCCAAGGCACACACTCCAGAAGGAGCTCAATGTGCGGCACAAACAGGTTTTAATGGCACTTTCAATACAATACAATACAATACAATTCACTTTCATTCATTTCAAGGCAACGCCACTTTCAGTCCAAACAAAGGTGTTACCCATCTGGATACTTTTGTCCATACCTTACATTGTCTATGTGATGTGAGCGTGTGTGTTTCTTTTAGCCAAATCTAAATACAAATTCGACCTCGCCGAGAAAGTAGCCCCTGTGGGTGCCATTTCACTAATTCCTAAAGAGGTGCGGTGGTTGTACTGTGTGTATTTGTGTGTGTGTGTGTGTGTGTGTGTGTGTGTGTGTGTGTGTGTGTGTGTGTGTGTGTGTGTGTGTGTTTCGAGTGTGCAGTGTTCACTCTTTTTGATGGCTGCGCCTCCTAATGAAGGCACACACACAAACATACGTGCGCACACACACACACATACACGCACTGGGAAATGAGAACAGACTCCAAAATTCGTGAGGTGGACAGTCAAATTGTGTGTCTATATTTTTACTCGAGGATTTTTTTTTCTAGTCATTCTGCTTATTTGGCAAGAGAAGCTATCACATTAATCACATGACACATGACCCAGCATTCTGTCAGCTTTTTCTTTTCAATATGGATGACTTGTTGTTGGTGTGTTTATTTCTATTGTGCCAGGTTATCATGAATAACTAGGCAGAATAGAGACTTTTTTCCCTATGGATTATACGCCCTAAATTTCCCAGTGCAGTATCCACTTATGGTTCTGAATAAGAAAATGATGGCTATAATCACATTTTACAATGTATGTAATATTCTGTGAGAGTATCTAAAGCTGTTAAGTGATGACTGTTCAGTGGCGTGGGAATGCACAGTCGCCATAAAGTCAAATAAATCATCACCTAAGTAAGTGTTAGCGAGCTTTTCTTAGTGTGAAAAATGCAAATACACAAAGAACAAATGTAGTGTGAATACATAATGCTCTTTTGTAAAGCAATTCCTCCTTTTGCAGATGAAAACATGGTCAACGCCTACGTTATTTTTCTTATTGTGACGAAATCAAGATAATCTTGAACACGAGTGGCTTGTGGTTAAATTCTCTTTATTGAACAGTCATCAGTATTACAAAGTGGACGCATCTCAAAAGTATAATTTTTTTTTTTTTTCTGGTGGTTCGTTACCCTACTGGGCCCCAATTTAAGCAGACTGCAGCAGCTATGCCTTTTTCCATTTGTTGCTAGGCAAAATTTGTGGGTCAAACTCGCAACACATTTTCATATGAAGACGGAGAAATGGCACACAGTAAAAATATGAATGTATTACAGTGCTCTATATAATATCTGATGATATTGGTGGGTCACTGCTCCCCAAATTCAAGCAGACTGTAACAGTTTCACAATTTTCACTTGTTGATAGGCAGAATTTTTCGGACACCATATTTGACTGATTAAAGAGGGGAAAAAAACGTTTTCCACGTGTTTATGTTTTTAAGTCATACATGGTTGTATTCTGGGTACTTTGCTGCAGAGCGAGCAACTGTCCCACACAGTCAAGAAAGGAGAAGGAGAGGTGGCACTCACTACAGAAATGAAAACTTGAAATAATGAGTTGAGCAATCCATACAAAGTACATATTGAAACCAAAAAATGAGTTTTTCTCTCAACACTGGACCCTCAGCTGGATGTTGCGGAGGACTCCCTTAGTTGCCCCTGATGTTGAGCCCCCAGTGTTAGCATAGGGATTAGTGTCGTCCACATCATTGCTGCTTTGCCAGTTTGTTTTCATGGGCACCTTAATATGTGCCCTTCGCACAACATGACATTAAATGTTTGTCACTTGCTGCTTGGCAGAATTTGTGGGGCACTGTCCTGTAAGACCAAAAAACAAAGTTAAGTAATACTGACCTGGGCCGCAGGGCTCCACTTCCCAAAAAACGAGAGATGACAGGAAGATTTTTTTCATAACTTTGAATTTTGGAGCAACTGAACTTTCTCAGCACAGCGCTCTGTGACTGGATCTTACGGGGGGTGGGGGGCATTGATATCAGTGCCCACAAATTCTGCCTAGGTACAAGTGGTTGTGCATTACTCAAAAGAATCAGAGCTGTTCTATTGATTTCATTTGCAAGATAAAGATGCAGCTCAAGCTAATTCGTTTTTTACTGTTGTTTCTGAGTTTCTTTGGGGGCTGTGGAAGTGTGGAAGTGAACTACCAAAACCCACGAGATGATATCATGGACATAAATTATGCTAATCCGTTGTCTTCAATGTAGAATATAGAGTAGTTTCAATTATAAAATTCGTGTGAATAAATATATCCATTTTGGGGGTGGGGGGAGGGGTTAAAATTTAACAAGGGTGTGCCTGTCTTGGCTGTGTGGGGCAATGAAATCCTCTGCCCTCAAGTAGCATCAAGAAGCTGTCAATAATGACAGTATTCTAGCCACAGCATGACCCCTCATGGCTGTTGCAGAACACTGCCCCACCTTCGCAACTAATTACAACAGTCAACAAATTTTTGCTGTTTTTTAAAACATCAGAGACGCAAGAAACTTGTCTCTCTATTTTTTTTTCACTGATTCCGAATCTGCCCTTGCTTTTTTTTCTCAAGCACAGTAGGTTAACATAATACTGTAATAATGAAAATAATACACCATTGAATAATATTTATGAATTAAGGAATAGATTCAGCAACAGGTGCGCAAGCTTTTATAGAGCAAGCTTAAATACAAAACAATGACAAAATGATGAACTAGAGGAAAAAAGACATTGAATAAGTTTATCGGAACACATAAGGCCATCTCTGATTAAAATTTGCTGTGGACAAAATCAAAACGTTACTCATAGTGGTGAACCTTAGCGGTTAGTATTGTGCTCATTTGTGCTAGTGTTAGCTTTGTTGTTGATGGGGGGGGGGTTTGTTGTGTTTTTTTTGGTGCATCCCACACCCCCCACCCCACCACACACCCCTGCCCTGGGGAGGGGGGTGCGGGCTGAGAAATCAATTAATGGAATCATGATTAGGACATGGAAGCAATCATGTCATTAATTATATGACTTGATTAGTGTGACAATAACAAAGGTCTACTTGACTTAAAATGACAGCATGCGTGTTAAGTGTTTTTTTTTTTTCATTTCCAACTTGAGTGCATCGAACATGTATGAATGCCAATCAGCCAAATTGGTTGCGGATAATTGCTTGTATTCAGATTAATGTAGTGAGTATTTTGTTATGTTGTGTTGTTGTTATTTTTTAATTTTGCAGCCTTTGAAGTTGTCTGCATGCTTTTTCTTCCACTGTAGGCACAAGACCCTCAGGTGCTGGAGCAACTGTCCAAAAACATCACGCGCATGGGTTTGACCAATTTCACCCTCAACTACCTCAGGGTAAGTATGGAAGTGTTTGTCATGTGTGAATAGTGTATATGTGTTCCAATATCGAGCAATGATTGCCAAATTTTCACTGAGTCAAGGCACAGATCTTACATTGGAAAAATCTCACGGCACACCACCAAACAAAAATGTCACAAATCATTGTAGATAATGCAGTTAATTGTACCTCGTGTCATTTAGTGGAAGAGCATTCCATTGTTCTGCCTGTCACTATATGTTTCTGGCATAGAAAGGGGAACAAGGATGCATTATGTGTAGTCAATCAATGATAACTTTCAGATAAATGAAATTTATTACAGCAGAGCATCAAATAGAATGTTTTATTGATATTCCAAAATTCTTATTGGCTGAAATAGTCATGTCTACTTGCTGATTAGGAATACGATTCATCTTTTCATTAGATCTACTTTATGCAAAAAAAGGCCAATCTTTTCTTCTTTACTGATGCATGTTTATGTAGCATGTTAAAGCTGTATGATAACGACAAACAGGAAGGTTCCGCGTGTGTGTGTGTGTGTGTGTGTGTGTGTGTGTGTGTGTGTGTGTGTGTGTGTGTGTGTGTGTGTGTGTGTGTGTGTTTTTAACTCCGCTGTTGACTGACATGCTAGTATTTTTCCAAAAGGCGAGAAGGCGAGCAAGCGCGAGGCGGAGGAATTAATTGGATACAGAAAATTAGCATAACATTAATGAACACTCCCTGTTGAGACGCGTAATTACGAAATGGCAGCATGCAATTCGGAGGAGAGTGGACGGGGTGGAGTGTGGGGGGGTGCGTTTGGTGAATTTAAGGGCACCTCGGCTGCTTATAATAACCCAATTGAGGGAGACACAAAGGGGGTTGGGGAATGGAGGAATTGAGGAGGGGGCGAGGGCGGAAGGGGGTTATGTGCTGCTGCATGTTTTTGTTTTTCTGTCACAATGATTGGCAAAGCACGAAAGCATCTGCAACACAACTGGTGAACCAGCTTTTATCCAATTACATCTGTTTGTGAGGAATTGACACAAACCTTTAATTATTCAGGAATTTGGGGTCAGTCATTTGTCAAGTATATGTGATTCAGATTTGGTAGTAATTAAACAACAGCACCAGGAGAATTTTTTTTTTTTTTAAATATGCAAAATAACTGCAAAACCAAAACATTTTGTACTAAAATTGTGAATTTACTGTGTTTTTTAGCACTAGCTTCCTGGGGCTTTTTAGTGGGTCTACCGATAATAGACGCGGTTACCACATTTTATGTTAAGTGGAATTGGTTGTAGGGGCTCCTTTTTTTTTCAATCAAGCAAAATTGAAAATTGCCCAAATAACGCAAAACGAGCTGCTTCCCTCGAAAAATGGCAGATCTCAGCTGTCTTATCAGGCGGCATCTTTTAAGACTTTTTTGAATAGATCTACTCATGTTAACCAAATTTAATGCTGCCAAGTGAAACTGGCTTGGGGGCTTATTTTTTACTTTTCATTTTTGATCAGAATCGGGTAAAACTTTGAAGACAAATTCAAAAAAGGCCTTAAATGGGTGCTAAATGTGGCTTTGAAGACAAGTTCATCTTTGAAGGACTACTGGAAAAAAGCCTGAAAGGGGTGCTTCAAATCAAAACGGCAACGTCTTCTCAGCCATGATTTTGTGAGACTTTTTTTGCAGGTCTGCTCACAATGGACGTCTACCAAATTTTATTTTGCTAGCTTTGGGAGCGGACTTTTTTTTTTTAAATCGTGAACAATCCCAAAGACGAAGCACATATTTCAAACTCAGGTCCTCAAGGCTCCGTTATTTTGCATGTTTCCATCTCTCCCTGCTGCAACACACCCGATTCATAAAAAGAACATGCAGAAATGTGGCCCTCGAGGACCGGAGTTTGAAACCTGTGTTTTAAAGCAGGGGTCCCCAACCTTTTTTGCCCCGAGGACCGGTTTATGTCAGACAATATTTTCACAGACCGGCATTTAAGGTGTGGCGGATAAATACTACAAAATAATATGGTAAGAGCTGCATGAACACTGTGGTGTTTTCGAGAGATAATAATAAACACGAGGAGCGTCTAATCTGGCCGCAACACTCTGATCGCTATGGTAATGTTTAATGCCTTCAAAATACGATACAACGCAAATTCAAAGTGCATGAAAATGTCAACTCACCACAATGCTGAATCAGTGCGAGCCCCGAGCTTGATTTTCTACAACCGGGCGGTCCCATCTCGGGGTAATAGGAGACAATGACACCTGAAGTGTGTGCTTTATGTCGAGTCTACTTCGTAATTTTGTTTTTTGTCGTCGTCGCTGCACAAAACCCCCGCCTCACACAGGTAGCATGTCGGAAATAGCAACAGTGCTATTGTGGCGATCTCAGAGTATTCAGCCATAACTTGAATCCAGAACACCGGCAGAGTTGTTGTCTCGAACGTACTTTTAAGGCCGCCGTCATTTGCGATCTCCAGCAGTTTATTTTACTCATTTAGCAAGCTCCGGCGTTTTGTTTTGAAGTAATCGGTCACGTGACGGAGAAGCGTGGTTTGATGTGCGTCAAGAGTGACACAGACGGATGTAACGGAGAATCGGGTAATTTTTCAAAATACAATATCATTCATATTCCAAAATAAATACAACGGAATTAATGTAAGTTCTTATTGTGCAGCCCGGTACCAAATGCCCTGCGGACAGGTACTGGTCCGCGGACCGGCGAATGGGGACCCCTGTTTTAAAGGATCCCTGGAAATGGCCAAATGACCTTAAAATAATATTTTCTAACACAAATGGCTGACAAACTCTTGTTTCGGTCATTGTTTCTTGAGACTTTTTTTTGTTGGGGCACAATATGATCGAAGTGTCGACAGAGTTTCATGATGCCCAGGGACACTAGCTTTGGAGGTTAAATATTTTTTATTCTGCAATATTAAAAAAAAACATTTTCAATGGCAAAGACAAGGACTACTGGCAATGGCCTAAAATAATAATGACAAATATCCTGTGTCTCTTAGAGCATGATTTGGTGAGACTTTTTGGCAGGTCAGGTCTACTTATGATCGACATGTTTACTTAACTTTATCCATCCATCTATTTTCCGATCCGCTTATCCTCGCAAGGTTTCGCGGGGGGTGCTGGAGCCTATCCCAGCTGTCTTCGGGCACTAGGCGGGGGACACCCTGAACCAGTTGCCAGCCAATCGCAGGGCACACAGAAACGAACAACCAACTCACACCCAATTTGGAGTGTTCAATCAGCCTGCCATGCATGTTTTTTGGAATGTGGGAGGAAACTGGAGGACCCTGAGAAAACCCACGCAAGCACGGGGAGAATATGCAAACTCCACACAGGAAGGCCGGAGCTGGAATTGAACCCGGTAACTCTGCACTGTGAAGTCGACGTGCTAACCGCTCATCTACCGGGCCGCCTTATTTAATAATATAATTTTTTAAAATTTATTTTTAGCACGCCATAGTGGTCGACTGTTTAGCATGACCGCCTCACATTGCAGATGTGTGGGGTTCAATTCCGGCTCGGGCCTTCCTGTGTGGAGTTTGCATGTTCTCTCCGTGCCTGCGTGGGTTTTCACCGGGTACTCACCCACGTTCCAAAAACATGCATGGCAGGTTAATGGAACACTCTAACCTAACACCTGTCCCGAGGTGTGAGTGGGAGCACAGATGGCTGTTCATCTGTGTGCCCTGCGTTTGGCTGGCAACCAGTTCAGGGTGCACCCTCGCCTACTGCTCGAAGACGGCTGGGAAAGGCTCCAGCAACCCCCGCGACCCCTGTGTGAGGATACGAGATGAACAACCATCCGCGCTCACACTCATACCTAAGGACAATTTAGAGTGTTCAATCAGCCTGCCATACATGTTCTTGGAATGTGGGAGGAAACCCCAGTACCCGGAGAAAACCCACGCAGGGGAGAACATGCAATCTCCACACAGGAAGGCCAGAGGGATTGAACCCAGTAGTGGGGGGGGCGGGGGGGGGGGGGGGGTCCTGACACCTTCTCCTCATCGCTTTCTCTACGGGAATACATCAGCATGTTTTTCATGTTGCCAAGCTTCCTTCTATTCAGTCTGAAAATAGACACGGGTTTCAGGATGAGAGCCAGAGCTGCTTGGCATGCCGATCAGAGAGAATTGTAGAATGTTGTCGCTAACAAACTTAAGTATGTTAAGTTATGTAATTAGCTAAAAGAGAAGAATGACGGTGTTGTTGCTGTTGCTATTGCTATTAAGTAACCTTTTCAGCTCTATGTTGTTTGTGTTGCTCGGCGGCTCCACAAAATGGTGGGTAAACAGGATTAAAATGTTTTATATTTGAGTTATTGTGGGGTTTTATAGTATTGTTTTCCTGCAATTGGCTGGCAACCGGTTCCCACCGACTGCCCGAAGACAACTGGGATAGGCTCCAGCACCCCCCGCGACCCTTGTGAGGATAAAGCGGATCAGAAAATGGATGGATGGATGGATGGATGGATGGATGGATGGATGGATGGATGGATGGATGGATGGATGGATGGATGGATGCATGGATGGTACTGTTTTATTGTGATTGACTGGCAACCAGTTCAGGGTGTCCCCGCCTACTGCCCAAAGACAGCTGGGATAAGCTCTAGCATTCCCACGACGCTTGTGAGAATAAGCTGATTGATCAATGAATGGATAGATAGTATTATTTTATATATTTATAACATTATTTTGGTATCATTTTTTTGTGTTGTTGAATTTGCACAAACATGTGATCCAGCTGAATTTTAAAGAGTGGATGATTAAGTTGTGGATGTGTAAAGAGCTTAACAAACGTTGCTTGTATTAAAATACAAATAAGAAATAATCTCGCGTCATTTAGTTGTGTGTTTTAACAGACTCTGAGTTGCTCTGGTGCACATGACAATAAACTCCTTTTTCTTCAACTCTTTCATAAGCGCCCATAAAAGTCTGATTTACGGCGCAATTAACACATCAAGCGAGCAGAGCAGTACAGCCTGACTTTTTATGGATTTCTTTTAATAGGGGCAGCACTTCTCTTTGCTCATTTGCATTTTTTTTGGTCTTCCTTTTAGTTGTGCGTCATCCTGGAGCCCATGCAGGAGCTCATGTCCCGACATAAGACGTACAACCTCAGCCCACGCGACTGTCTCAAGACATGCCTGTTTCAAAAGTGGCAGAGAATGGTGGCGCCACCAGGTAAGCCAGCCACACTTTGTGCTCTTAATGGACCCCCAAAATGACTTCTTCATGATGACAGTTTAGCTTGAGTCTTAAATTCACAATTCAAAGGTCTTAAAAATGACAAAGAGGAAACTCAAAAAACAAAAAAGCCTCTTAGTTAGGGCCAACTCAGTATAGTTTTGTTTTTTTTGGGGGGGGCTGGTGTATATGATTTAAGGGAATAATACATACTTAGGGAAAATAATACATGAAAAATGAAAATGGTTGCAGAGGACACAAAAAAAGTACTGAAGTAAAGCTCTATTGATAAAATTGAAGACGTTCACCTCCAGCTTCCATATAGCCCATTCTTCTCCATGTTTCTCCTGCCAGGAAGGAAGCATCTGCAGCATTTGCACCCCGTGATAAGTCTTTTTTATTTTTTCGGGATTTTTTATTTTTTTTCCGGGAGGGAAACGGGAAGCGATTGCAGTGCGTCAGCGGCGCAGGAAAAAGCCGTCGGATACCACAAATCTGTGACAATAGTTTGCCGAGGCGCATACGCATCTGTCAATGTCAGCCATGCAAAGAGGAAAGATGCGGATAAGAAAGAAAAAAAAAAGTCAAGTACAGTACAATGGAAGCTGTAAGGTCACCATTGTTCCCCGAGGAAATCACGGAAGTCATCTTAAAAAAAAAAAAAATTGCTGGTGTAAAAATAAGTTAACCGATGTACACATGAAAACACTGAAAACAGTCAAAGGCTTAGTTTAAATTAAATAAAGGTGATACATGCAGATGTGTCCCTTTTTTTCATGTTTTAGTTCATCAAATTTCACAATTTCTTCAATGCTTCTGAGCAATACAGTAAATATTCCCATCCCCGGAATTCTATGAAAAGGAATATCCTTCACCCGGAACAAAAGCCTGTGCATTAACATTTTGACTACGATATTACATGTTACCGGAACTTACGTAAGCGAAAATTCCACTACCCGTAACCCGGATTGAGACGTCATGACGCGGGAGTTTAAATACACGCAACGCCCGCCCGATGCTACGGAACGACGACACCGAGACACATTTTCACTTCGCGTTTTTCGATCATCAGATTCGAAACGACGACGTGTAAGTGAGTTTTTATTGGCGTGCGTTTTACTGTAATTGTGAATCACTTTGACTTTATTCACTTAACGTCCTGTAGAACGCGGCACTAGCTTAAAAGCAGCACCCACTCGACATGACCGAACAGACTGTTCGCTTCGCCGTTTACATTCATCAGATTCGAAACGAAGACGTGTAAGTGACTTTTTATTGGCTTGCGTTTGACTGCAATTGCGAAAGATTTTAAATGTATTCACTTACGTCGTGTAGCTCATGGCATTGAAACGTAGAAGAACTGTAATGACTGGAGCGGAGCGAGTGAAATGCACCCGTTTGAGCAAGGCTGGACACAAAGTTAAAAGCATCCAGCAGACACTTGGAGTCGGAAAGACGCAAATCTACGAAACTTTAAAAAACAAGGCA